AGCAATGTCTACAATAGCCAAACTATGGAAAGAACCTAGATGTCCATCAACAGATGAATGGATAAAGAAGATGTGGTATATATACACAATGGAACACTATGCAGCCATCAAAAGAAATGAAATCTTGCCATTTGCGACGACGTGGATGGAACTAGAGGGTATCATGCTTAGCGAAATAAGTCAATCGGAGAAAGACAACTATCATATGATCTCCCTGATATGAGGAAGTGGAGATGCAACATGGGGGGGGGTTAAGGGGGTAGGAGAAGAATAAATGAAACAAGATGGGATTGGGAGGGAGACAAACCATAAGTGACTCTTAATCTCACAAAACAAACTGAGGGTTGCTGGGGGGGGGTGGGAGAGGGAGGTGGGGTTATGGACATTGGGGAGGGTATGTGCTATGGTGAATGCTGTGAAGTGTGTAAACCTGGCGATTCACAGACCTGTACCCCTTGGGATAAAAATACATGATATGTTTATAAAAAAAATAATAAAAAAATATTAATGTAAAAAAAAATAGGTCGTTGAACCTCATTCATACCCTTTATATGGAAATTCCAAACTGAGGGGTTTCCTGAAGGACATGTGCTAAGTCCACAGCTGAAGTGCAAAATTAAAAGCATAATTCTTATCATATGCTTTTATCTCTCCAAATTCCTCTGCCTGTTCAAAAGTGGGTGTCTGCAGGGTGGGGCTGGGAAGAGGGGTCCTTCATTCCTATTTTCTTTTCCTTTATTCTTACCCCTTCCGGGTCCCAAGTGATTATGGCCCCTCTTCATGGAGAAATGGCAGGGACCATGAATCCCCACTGCTCCAGCAAATTGTGGTGTCACTGTTTCTCCACATACTGTCTCGTCAGGCCTCTAGTCTATGGCCAGGTGCCTAAGAGCAGTGGAGGAGGGTGAGGGTCTGGCACTAGAGGAAGCGTAGCATCTCTTGCTGCAGCATTTGGTCTTTTCCTTTCCACATACTCAAAGATGTTAACCTGCTTGCCAGACACACTTCCATACAAAAATACTCCATGTGGCTTTCCTTTGGAAGTGTTTCTCACTCTTTCTGCACCAGGCCAGTGACACTCTCTGGGAGTTCTCATGGAGAAACCATGAGGTATAGCTATCAGTAAGGGATCATTGATTCTGTGCCCAGGGCTATGGAAGGGTTGCTTCCTAGCAGACCCCCAAATCTACTTTCAACTACCTGCCCATTTCATTTCAGCTCCTGTGACCTAGCACTTTATAAGCACCAGTAGATTTGTTTTTTTCAAGGGAAACAAACAGATATGGAGGCATGCTACACAACTATCAAAACTAAACATACATGGCCTTGTGGAAAAATTAGGTCATCCATATGTCTAGAATAAATTATCTGATATACACTTTGTGTTGGTCACTTACCCTAATTAATGCATTTTAAAAAAACTACTTTTTTTTACAAACAGGTTTATAAAAGGCTAATCATTCTTGCTAGTGTTTCCTTGCAATCTATGACTTAAAAATAAGAGTTCCTTATCAGTTCTTCATAATTTTATGTGAAATTTTCTGCTGAATAGTCAGTCTTATATCCATGCTCTTCTTTCTTGTTTGAATTTTTAAAAATTATAAAGCCCATGTCACGTTACCTCCAAGTCTTGCTCTGATGGAAATGTCTGGTATTGCCCTGGAATTCCATCTCCTGTCCTGTTTTAGTTCTTCTAATAAAATGGTTTGTCTTTTCAGTGTTGTTTGAAATCCTGTGTCTGGCCTGGGAACTCGATGTTGTGGTTTCACATCACTGAAGTCCACTAGACTTGGTATGGTTCTGCCAATGCCAGGCTTTAAGTCAGCATCACCACCAGGACTCAAAAACCCTGAACAGGAATCACCCAAGGGCACATCATCCCGAAGTGGAAATAATGGATAATCTCGCCCATATGGTGGGGGATAAGGATAGTGTAAATGGTAGTCCGGCAAGACTGAAGGGGGAGAAGGGTGAAATTTAAGAAAAGTAGGGTTGCATTTCTTTTCAATTCTGCCATAGTTATGTCTGTCTTCAACTCCCTTCACAAAAGGCATGTTCATTTTCCTTAAGAGATTATAGTAGTGTGGGTAATCTGTATTCTCAACAGCCTTCTTTCCTGAAAGGATGGACCTTTCAGAGATACTTATCTTTCCAGGGGTGTACTGTGAATCCACATCCATGGCCTTTCTCTTTAGACTTTTGGATGACTGTAAATTAACTGCTTCTGATGACTCCTTTCTATTTAACCATAAAATTCACTATTTGCAATAATTGAGGATTGGTTAATTTAACATAAAGTTACTTAACTGGTTTTCTAAATATTGATTTTTTTTTTTTTAAGGCAAATATCTTTTCTCTACCAAAAGAAGTATAGGACATTAAGGGACCAGGACAGAAAAACAAAACAAAAGAGAGTCCTTGTTGCTTGGCAACAGCCAGAACTCTAACACATTGGACTATTTACTCTATATGTCATAATTTAATTCTTAGGAAAAACAAAAATAGCCTTGTTAGTGATATTTTCATGATAGTTTTCTTCCCACTGTCCATTTGTTACTTATTTTCAAATGTTTCCATAAGTTGATATTTTATAAGTAAATGATATTCATTAGAGTACAAAGCAGTTAATCAAGGGAGAATGTATTTTTAAAATATGTATCTGAGTAAAAAATTAAGTATTTACCTTATAGATATAATAAATTATAAAACTCACTACCTAAATAAATGTAAACTCAAATGCAGTGCAAAGAATGAACAGGTCTTATACTCAGTTAACTCAGTGACCTATTTTTTAAGAAAAGTAATAGTCAAAATACTATTTATTTTTCAAATGCCCTAAATTACTTTACCTTTTGGCTTCCAATGTATAGAATAAAACCAATGGGATTTTTGAACTCATTTCAGAAAACTACAATAAGGTATGAACTATTAGCTCACATGTTAAAAAAAAATGTATTGGTCATTTAAAAGCTCATTTCAATGAGATAATTTGGACTTGCATGAAAACTGCTACCAGAGGAATTGTAAATATTGGAATTTGGGCACACAGCTCACACCAACCCATCTGGAGTAAAACCAAACCAAACCAAAAACAAAACCTATGCAAACAAGAATGAGAAACCTAGTTGCGTATTTCCAGCATTTGGCTTTCCCTCTTCAGATCTACAGCACACATGAAGTACAATCTCCAGTGTAAGAGCCTACTGTCAGGTTGAATGTTGGGAATTTACACAGTGCATGAAGGTAGGAGGGACTGATAAACTTCTCGATGGCAGAAATAAAAAATCAATGATAGTCAAAAGTCCATTTGGTATTGTGCATAGAAATTAAGAGGAGCTTTAGCAGGTATATACCTAGACATAGCGATTGGGCACTATTCAGTAAAATACGTATTTACTCGATGTGCTCAAAGGAACTGCAAGGTCTTGAGCGAAATGCTGGCTAGATCCAAACCAAACTAAAACATGCTCAAACACAGTAAATTTATTTTTTTAAGATTTTATTTATTTATTTTAGAGAAAGGAGAGACAGAAGCGAGGCAGAGGGAGAGGGAGACTCTCAAGCAGATCCCATCAGCGGATCAGCAGGGACTGATCCAGGACGCTGACCTCATGACCGGGGCTGAAGCCAAGAATCTGAGGCTTAATCGGCGGCACCACCCAGACGCCCTTTGAGCACAATTTAATTCAGAACCTTACACAGACTAGAAAGAATTTCCAAAGATGTAGATCTGGTCAGTGGAATAAACCGTGCTGCACACAGTCTACCAAACAGCTAACACACGCATAAAAAGAGCCAGAGAACTCAAGGACTGTCCCGGTCCTGGTCCTGGTCCAGAAAGAGGCCTTATTCCTTTCTGCTCATTCTTTCCTTCCTCCTTTTTGTGCTCCTTCCCTCTTTTCAAAATTCACCGCGACCTGGATGCGCACCGTATGAGATTAAGATGGTGTCAAAACAGACGAGAACCTGGCTTCCAAGGGCCAGACACAGAAAGGGGACAGCGGGCCGCGCGGGCTGCGATCCGCACGCACCCGAAGGCCTTCGACCTTCCGGACACACAACCGAACAAGCGAGGCGGCTGGGGAGACGGTCAGGCTGTCCACTTTAAACCCTCTCCCGGAACACGGCGCCTCCGGCGAAGGGTCCCGCCGGTCTCCGCGGGCGAAGGGAGCGGCGCACGTCACCGTGGGGCATTCTGTATCCAGCGCGCACACCCCATTCTTCGCTGCGGCGGCTCCCACTGGCGCTCGTCCCTGGGTCGTAGCTCGTCCCGCCGAGCCCATCCTTCCAGCTGCAGGGCCGCCGACGCGCGATCGATCCTCCCAGCACGTCCCGGCTGGGAACGCGGGCGGGTCTCTTCACGTCCTCCTCGAACTCGGGGGCAAAAGGCGATCTCCCAGGCCCAGCGTGGCACCCCGGTCAACGTCCTCCGCTCGGCCCACGAGGCCTCTCTCCGGGGCCACAGTCCTCCTTTCAACCGCACTGGCGCGCGCACTTACCCCCCACTCAGGTGTCACTCATCCCCGGAGTAAGGCGGGTTAGCCGGGGACGTCGGGGGCCAGGCAAGCCCCCGCACTCGGGTCCCACCGGCCGCCGTTCCGGGCGGACCCCGCTCATGAAGCCCGGTCAGCCCGCTCCGGAAACGGCCTCCCGGGGCCCAAGGACGCGCACTCCAAGGGAAGGGCGCGGGGGGCGGGGTCCGCGGCGCTTCTACCGCACCAGAACCTTGGCAAGGGCCCTTGAGCATCGCCCGGGTCCCGAAGGCCCGGTCACGGGTCGGCACAGAGCACGGAGCGACAGCCCTCGGTTGGCGTCGAGAGACCTAGCCAGGACACAGGCCACCGCGCTCCTCCCCTGCCCTCTCCTCCGCCCCGGCGGAAGTGGCGGCCCGTCCTTCCGGCCTTCCTTCCGGCCCACAACCCGCCGACTTCCGGCGGGCAGGTGGGCGCGCGCCGCCTAACGACCTTCTGCGCGGACGGTCGGTAGGCGGCGGCGAGTGAATGGAGGCCTCGGCCCCCGGCCGGCGGCGGCGGCGGGGCTGGCGGCGGGCTCCGGTCACGGGCTCCCCGCTCTTCCGGGCCGCGGTCGTCCTCCTGCTCTCCGCCTTCGTGGCGCGGGCGTCCCCTTCAGGTGAGGCGTCGGCGGCGCCGCCTCAGCTCCGCGGGGCGTCCCTCCCGCCCAGCCCCGCAGCGCCACCTGTCGGCCGCAGTTATAAAATGCGGGGACGACTGGGGAGGTCCGGTGGAGACGTTTTCCGCCGCCTTTCGCGTCCTCCCTGGCGTCCAGAAAGTTCCATCCTGTTTGCAGATACGCGCGCACACGCGCGGGAGGGAGGGCTCAGCCGCCAGCGGGTAACCGGGACGGCGTTGGCTGCACTATTGTGTGCCCAAATGTTAGGGTTTGTGAAAAAGGGTCTCCCAGCGTTGCATAGCAAAAGTCCAGAGAGATTTGGTCGGAATGCCGAAAATGGCGCAAAGCGGGAGAGACGAGAGAGCTTCTCCCGGAACAGTCAACGTAGAGCGATTGCGGACGGGGGCGCGGGAGGGGGAGCAGGGAGGAGGGAGGTGGGGTGAAGCCGTGGTCTGGGCGTCGGGCTCCGGAGGTTCCGTTCTGAGTAGGGGATAGCGGGTGGAGAAGGGGGTCCTTCCCGGTCGTGGTCCAGGGTCTTACCCTAGATGGGGGAGGGGGGTGGGGCATCCGCTGGCTTCAGGTCCAAGCACAGGGCAGACCGGAGGACGGCGGACCTGGAGTAAGTGGGCGATACCTTGGTTCCGAAGCGCCGAGTGGGACGGACTGATGTTCACGTAGCATTTCCCAGTGTGTACCGCCTTCCCTTCAGTCCCTGCAACACCGCCCGGAATCCCAAATGTGGTCTCTTCCGGCGGGTGAGGAAAGGAAAGCGGAGGTTCTAGAGTTTAAGGTGACGTTCCCGAGGCCAGTAAGGGGGCTTCTGACTTTCGGCACACCCGCCTCCCTCCCTGTTAAATGCCCTTTGGGTGGATGCTTCGTTCCGTTTTTTATACCGCTCGCACCGCTGGGTCGTGCGCGCTCTCAGGTCCATTTGTTCATCCAGCAAGGATGGAAGAGTCTCAATATATCATATTCAACTCTCGTTATTTAGTTTGTCTTACTGCAGGATGCTTGGTGCTGATTCTTGATACGTTGACATAAACATTGATCGTACTAGCGGGGGATCCGCCTATCAGTGGAGCCTATAATCTAACGAAAAATCATATACATTGTATACATGTGTAAGAACTGTAGCATAATGCAGTGTAGACGGCTCTGAAAGAGGCGCTGGTGATGGCGGGAAGGGACTATGAGAAGTGGTGAGGACAAACAGAAGGTTTGCAGGAATAGGGTCTGGAAGCTTGGGGGCTGGGGGTTTTGAAACAGAGTATTCTAAGTGGCTGTAGAAAAAGTCCTGAGATGAGCTGCAGTCGGGAAATCAGTGAGTAGGTTAATTTCACCGCAGCACGAGGGGGAGAGTAGTTGGAAGGGAGATGCCGGATGTTGGAAGACATTGATTTAAAGTCCCCCTCCAACCGAGATCAAGTATACTATGATACTCTACCATTTGGTATCTTGGAATTTCTAATGAGGCAGGTTGCTGATAATTTCTTTTTGTTTTCGATAGTTGGATATTTGATTCGATTACCGAGAGGTTTTCACTTGACCCAAGACGCTGTGAAAATAGTGGGATCATCAAATTTTCCAGGTATTAATAAATAGATGTTCAGTACTTTTAAGAAAGTATTTAGCATTTGTTTAAATTTTATCGATCTTGTCCAAAAGGCTAATGTTCCCCAGACATCCCAGTCTCCTAAGGCCTTTCCTTCTATGGAAATGGATTATAGTTGTTCCCGTATGGTTTGGTTGATCCAGCTCTGATTCTCTTTGCTGTAACTGCTGAAGTGTGTGAAAATAATTCTCTAGAAGTTACCTAATTAAAGTTGTCTAGTGTTTCTGCTTGTTATTATATGATTATGTTAATAATATATATAATATTTACTATAATTATTATATGATTATATATGATTATTAATAAACATATGTAGTTGAAATAATACTAAAATATTTTTCAGATGAGATCTGTATTATAAAGGTTTTGGATTTATAAGCTTTTCCAGTAGTCATATGAGAGGCATAGTAATTAAAACTTTCTTGGTGGTGGTTTGTTTTGTTTTGTTTTTTCGAGGTAAATTTGCATGCTTAAAATTCCTCTTTTTTTTTTTTTTTTAAAGATTTTATTTACTTATTTGACACAGAGAGAGGGATAGTGTGAGAGAGCACAAGCAGGGGGAGCGGCAAGCGGGTGGGCAGGGGGAGAGGAAGAAGCAGGCTCCCTGCTGAGCAAGGAGCCTCACGCGGGGTTCAACCCCAGGACGCTGGGATCATGACCTGAGCTGAAGGCAGACACTGAACTGACTCTGAGTCACCCGGGTGCCCCAGAATTCCTCCTTTGAAGTGAACATTCCAATAGTTTTTAGTATATGCAACGATTTAGTACATTGCAAGGTTTTGCAACTATCACTGTGAGATACTGCAGCATTTTGGTGGCTCCAAAAAGAAATGTCGTAGCCAGTAAGCAATCACTCTCCAGTCCCTGGATACCACTAGTATACATTCTCTATGAATTCCCGTGTTCTGGACATTTTATGTAAGTGGAATCATACAGAGGGTGGCGCTTTGCATTTGGCTGCTTTCACCGAGTGTAGTGTTTTTGAGTTTATGCATGTCATATTCCATTTTATGGCTGAATAATATTCCATTGTATGGATATACCACTGTTTGTGAATCTGTCAGTTGATGGATTTTTGGGTAGTTTCCACTTTCTGGCTGTTAGGAACATTGCTGTTACCACCATTCCTGAAGAAGTTTGTGTGTGAACCTACATTTTCAATTCTTCTGAATATATACCTAGAACAGAGAGTAACTCTACGTTTAACCTTCTGAGGAACTGCCAAACTATTTTTTAAAGAGCCTTTACTATTTTACTTTCAGACCAGCAATGTGTGAGGATTCAGATTTTACAGCAGCCTTGCCCACACTTGTTACTGTTTATCTTTTTTTATTATAGCCATCCCAGTGTGTGTGAAGTGGATTTTCACATGGTTTTATTTTGCATTTCCATAATGTCTAATGACGTTTAAGACCTTTTTATGTATTTAATGAATGTTTGGTTATCTTCTGTGCAGAAATATCTGTTCAAGTCCTTTACCCATTTTTTAATTGAGTGTTTTATTATTGAGTTGGAAGTTATTTTTAATACATTCTGGATTCTAAACCCTTATTAGATATTTTCTTTACAGATATTTTCTCCAATTCTATGGATTGTGTTTTCACTTGAAAATTTTCTTTTTAATTTTAAACTTTTAATTCTAGCATAGTTAACATGAAGTGTTCTATTAGTCTCAGGGGTACGATATAGTGATTCAACAATTCTGTGCATTACTTAGTGCTCATCACACACGATGAGTGTGCTCCTAATCTCCTTCACCTATTTCCCCCATCCCTCCACCCATCTCCCCTCTGGTAACCATCTGTTTGTTTGTTCTCTGTAGTCAAAAGTCTGGTTCTTGGTTTGTCTCCATTACTTTATTTCCTTTGTCCATTTGTAAACAGCCCAAATGTCCATCAGTTGATGAAAAGATAAAGAAGATGTGGTGTGTGTGTATGTATATATTCCACAATGGAAAATTACTCAGCCATAAAAAAGAACAAGGTCTTGCCATTTGCAATGCGAGGGATGGGGCTAAAGTGTATTATGGTATGGGAAATAAGTCAGAAAAAGACAAACACCATATGATTTCTCTCAGGTGGAATTTGAGAAACAAATGAATATATGTGTTTTCACTTTTTAAATAGTGTCCTTTAAAGCACACATTTTAGACTGATAAAGTATGATATCTATTTTGCCCTTTGGTACTAGTGTGTTAGGTGTTGCCTACTCAACAGTTAAAGTTTTACTCCTTTATTTTTTTATAAGAAATTCATAGTTTCAGCTGTTATATTTAGGACTTTGATCCATTTTGGATTAATTTACAAGCTTGAGGTCAAACCTCATTCTTTTGCTTGTGGATATCCAGTTGTTCCAGCACCATTTTTTCAAGATACTTTTTTTTCCCTGTTGAATTTTCTTGGTGCCCTGCTGAGAAGCAGTTTGCCATAGATGTTTGGGCTTTTTTCTGGACTCTAAATTCTATTTCATTGATCTGTCCTTATGCCAGTACCATACTGTCTGGATTTCTGTTGCTTTAAAGTATGTTTAGACATCATTAAGTATGAGTCCTTCAAATTCACTCTTTCTCAAGATTGTTTTGGCTATGCTAGGTCACCTGCAACTCCATATTAATGCTAGAATCAGGTTGTTCATTTCTGCAGAAAAGCCCATTGGGATTTGAGTCAGGATTGTGTTGAAGTGTAGATCAATTTTGGGAGTACTGGCAAATTAATCACATTAACTTTTCCAATTCATGAGCTTGGGAGTATCTTTCCATCTACTAAGATCTTCTTTAATTCTCCTCCATGTTGTTTTATAGCTACTGGTGTACAGGTCTTGCACCACTTTTGTTAAATTTATTCCTAAGTATTTTATTCTTTTTGATGCTGTTGTAAATGGAAAGGTTTTATTCAGGTTTTGGATTATTCATTGCTATTATATAGAAATACAATTGAATTTTTCAAGTTTTTGTATTCTATCACCTTCCTGAATCATTTATTAGCTCTGTTTTTTTTCTTTTAAGGTGGTGGGGGAGTTATTTCTTAGGATTTTCTAGGTATAAGATCATGTCATCTGCAGATAGAGATAGTTTTATTTTTCCCTTACCAATCTGGATGCCTTGTTTTTTTGTTTTTGTTTTTGTTTTTTTTCTTGCCAGTTGCTCCAGCTAGAACCTTTGGTTCAGTACTGATGACAACAGATATCCTTGTCTCTTACTCCTGATCTTAGATGGGGGTAGGTTTCAGTCTTTCAGTATGAAATATTTCAAATATGACTTTATCTGTGAGTTTTTTGTAGGTGGATTTTATTAGATTGAGAAATTCCCTTCTGTTCATAGTTTGTTGAATGTTTTTATTGTGAAAAGATGTTGGATTTTGTCAAATCCTTTTTCTGCATACATTGAGATGATTGTGTGTTTTCTGTCCTTTGTTCTATAGATATAATTTGGTATTACATTGATTGATTTTTGTATCTTGAACAAGAAATGCAATCCTGGGATAAATCTTGATTATGATGCATAATTCTTTTTCATGCTGCAGGATTGGCTGTTACTATTCTGAGGATTTTTATGTCTGTATTCACAAGGGAAATTGTTCTGTAGTTTTCTTATGTTGTCTTTGTCTGATTTTGGTTTTAGGGTAATAGTGGCTTCATAGAATAAGTTGGGACATGTTCCCTTTTTTTTTTTTTTTTTTTAAAGATTTTATTTGACACAGAGAGAGAGATCACAAGTAGGCGGAGAGGCAGGCAGAGAGAGAGAGAGGAGGAAGCAGGCTCCCCACTGAGCAGAGAGCCCGATGCGGGGCTCGATCCCAGGACCCTGGGATCACGACCTGAGCCGAACCTCTTTTTTTTTTTTTTTTTTAAAGAGTTTATGAAGTGTTGTTAATTCGACTTGTTTGGTGAAATTCACTAGTGAATTCACCTGGTGCTGGACTTTTCCTTGTAGAAAGATTTTTAATTATTAATTCAGTCACCTTACCCAGACATTGTTTTCATTATGGTTTTTGATGAGAAATAAGCTACTAATTTAAGGATCGTGTGTATGTAACAGGTTGCTTCTCTTGCCGCTTTCAAGAGTCTGTCTTTTTGGACTTTAACAGAAGATTATGATGTGTCTAGATATGGATTTCTTTGAATCGATCCTAATTTGAGTTCATTGAGCTTCTTTGATATGTAAATTCGTGCTTTTCATCAGTTTGGGGAAGTTTTGTCATTATTTCTTCAGCTATTCTTTGTACCCTTTTACTCTCCACCCTTCCGTGGAACTTGTATTATGCATACAATGGTGTGCTGGGTGGTTTCCCACAGGTCTCTGGTGTATTGTTCATTTACCTTTAGTTTTCTTTTTTCCTTCTTTCTTAGACTGGATAATTCCAAATTGATTTATCTTGAGGTTTTCTGATTCTTTTTTCTGCCAGCTTAGGTCTGCTTTTAATTCTTACAGTGAGTTTTTCAATTCAGTTATTTTACTTTTTATTATTTTTTAATTTTTTTTTATTTTTTAAAGATTTTATTTATTTATTTGACAGAGATCACAAATAGGCAGAGAGGCAGGCAGAGAGAGAGAGAGGGAAGCAAGCCCCCTGCTGAGCAGCGAGCCTGATGTGGTACTGGATCCCAGGACTCTAGGATCATGACCTGAGCCGAAGGCAGAGGCTTGACCCACTGAGCCACCCGGGAGCCCAAGTTATTGTACTTTTTAATGCAGAATTTCTTTTGGGTTCTTTTTTTTTTTTTTTTTTTAATAACTTCTGTTTCTTTATTGATAATCTTTGGAGAGAAATCATTTTCATACCTTTTTTTAGTACCGTAAACATAATGTTCTTTGATCATATTTAAAATAACTGATTTAATTTTTCTTTTTCAACATTTCTTTGGCTATTTGGGGTCTTTTCTGTTTCCATACAAATTTTAGGATTATTTGTTCCAGCTCTGTGAAAAATGTTGGTGGTATCTTTAAAGAACTTATCAAACTCAACACCCAGAAAACAAATAATCCAGTCAAGAAATAGGCAGAAGACATGAACAGGCATTTCTCCAAAGACATACACATGAAAACATGCTCCACATCACTTGGTATCAGGGAAATACAAATCAGAACCACAAAGAGGTAACACCTTACACCAGTCAGAATGGCTAAAAGTAACAAGATAAGAAACAATAAATGTTGACGGGGATGCAAAGAAAGGAGAATCCTCCTTTTATACTGTTGGTGTGTTTGAAAACTGGTACAACCACTCTGGAAAACAATATGGAGTTTCCTCAAGATGTTAAAAATAGAGCTACCCTATGACCCAGCAGTTATACTACTGGGTATTTACTCCCCAAGATATAGATGTAGTGAAAAGCACATGCACCCCAATGTTCATAGCAGCAATGTCCATAATAGCCAAACTGTGGAAGGAGCCGAGATGTCCTTCACCAGATGAATAGATAAAGAAGATGTGGTTCATATATACGATGGAATATTACTCAGTCATCATTAAGGAAGAATACTTATGATTTGCATCAACATAGATGGAACTGGAGGGGATTAGGCTAAGTAAAATAAGTTAGTCAGAGAAAGACAATTATATGGTTTCACTCGTATGTGGTACATAAGAAACAGTGCAGAGGATCATAGGGTAGGGAGGGAAAACTGAAGAGGAAGTCATCAGAGAGAAAGACCATAAGAGACTCTTAACTCTAAAAAACAAACAGTTGCTGGAGGGTAAATGGGTGGAGGAGTGGGATACTTGGGTGATGGGCATTAAGGAGGCATGCAATGCGATGAGCATTAGGTATTGTGTGCAACTGATAAATTACTGAACACTGCATCTGAGACTGACGATGTACTATATGTTGGTTAATCGAATTCAGATTTAAAAAAATGAAATAATTTAAAAAAATGAAATGATTTAAAGTATTTGTTCAGTAAGTCCAAAATTTGAGTTTCCTCAGGGATGATTTCTGTTGGTTGCTTTTCTTTTCCCTACCTATGACAATACTTTCTTAATTTTTTGCATGTTTCATATTTTTAGTTGAAAACTAGACTTTCAAAGTAATTTAATGTGGCAACTCTGGAAATCAGGTGTGAATGTTATTAATGTCTTGTTATTGTTGGTATGTTTAATGATTTTTCTGAATGAATTCTTTAGTTTCTATGTCATTTGTGATATGTAGCCACTGAAGTCACTGCTCAGTTAGCCTAGGCTGATAGCTGGATGGAGATTTTATTGACACCTGAAACTAGTTAGTCTCCTAGTCTTTGCTGAGGGTCTTTGTGTGCTTGTGTGGTACACGCTCAGCATTTAGCTATGCATTGATTACTTTGTCCTTCACTAGTCTGCTCTGCAGAGCATCAATTTCAGACAGAGGTGAGAACTTACATTCTGTCCTGACTAAGCATGCCAGTCTTGGGCATGTGCATCTGGCCTTCTGTTTACCCAGGGGTATGTTAGAACTTTACAGAGCTCCTATGGACTTGTCATTCCCAGCTTTTCCTCTTAAGCGTTTTGTTTAGCCTGTTTTACCCCAAGTGTTACCTTCTGCATCTGGCATTTGCAGAGTTAAAAGAAAGCCTCTAGTTATTTTTGAAAAATACTATTTGGGAAAAGGTTTTATACAGTGGTTGTGCTCTGAGTTAAATCAAGTGAAGACAGCCTTTGAGTGGTATCTTCTTGGAAGCTGCCAGAGAGGTCAAATAGTGACAGTTCTCTGGGAAGGAGGCTTTGAAGTCCCTCCAGCCCCATCTGCCTCTCTATCGGCTGCCAGGCTGCTGGTTCTTACAGTGATTGGCACAGTGGTTATCAGAGCTAAGGCCGACTGGGGAGGAGGAGGAGAGGGAGATGGGAATGGGGGAACTTAGAATGCTAGGAGCCCCCCAGGCCCTTGTAACAAATTACCAGAGACTGGGTGGGTTAAACAACAAAATTGATTTTCTCCCAATTCTGGAGGCCAGAAGCTCAGTCATGGAGGTGGGGTTGATTGTGCCTGAGGGCTGTGAGGGAAGGGTCTGTTGCAGTTCTCCTTCCTTGGCTCGTGGGTGGCCATCTTCAGCCTGTGTCTCTTCACATCACGTACCTCTGTATTTGTATGTCTCCAGATTTTCCCCTTTCATAGGACACCAGTCACTGGATTTGGACTCACCCTAATGACTCATCTGAAGCTGATTACTTTTGTGAAGACTGTGTCCAGATATGTTCACATTCTGAGGTACAGGGATTAGGGCTCAAACGTATGCATTTGGAGAGAGGCATAAGTCAGCCCATCCGTGCCAAGATTCAGTTGTTTTTCTTGAATAAGTTTTTCACTGGTTGTCACACTCTTTGATTAATTTCCAGAATTCTGAAAATGTTGATCCTGACAATTTCTGCCAGTTTTTGTATTACCTTTATGAGGGAGATAATTTTTTAGAGTTCTTTCCTCTGCCATTTTCACTGATATCCCAGCTTTTGTTTTAGAACTACAACCTTTAAGCCTAAATTGTAAAATAGACCCATGATAAATACGGAGAACAAACTGATGGGTGCAAGAGGAGAGGCGGATGGGGGGAATGAGCAAAATGGGTGAAGGGGAGCGGTAGATGCGGGCTTCCAGTTATGGAGAGAATGTGTCATGGGAGTGAAAGGCACAGCGCAGGGAATGTAGTCAGTGGTATTGTACACGCACGGTATGGTGGCGGATGGGAGCTGCACCTGTGCTGAGCACAGCATAGCATAGAGACTGGTTGAGTCACTGTGTTGTGCACCTGAAACTGATGTGACCTTATGGGTGCACTTCATTTAAAAACATGAACATGAACTACAGAAAATAAAGACTGTTCTGGGAGTTTACCTTTTTTTTTTTTTTTTAAATTTAAGGGGCACCTGGGTGGCTCAGTGGGTTAAAGCCTCTGCCTTCGGCTCAGGTCATGGTCCCAGGGTCCTGGGATCGAGCCCCGCATCGGGCTCTCTGCTCTGCGGGGGGCCTGCTTCCTCCTCTCTCTCTCTCTGTCTGCCTCTCTGCCTACTTGTGATCTCTCTGTCAAATAAATAAATAATATCTTAAATTTTTTAAATTTAAATTCTAAGTAACTTTGAAATTGGATACTGAAATTGGAAAAGGACAAAGGATAGTATAACAATGACATGCAACTGTATTTCTAAATATAGGTACAACTATCCCAGGAATAATATTTGCAAATTAAATCCAACCATATTTATTTGTTTACTTTTTTTAAAGATATATTTATTTATTTGAGAGACAGAGGGGAAGAGAGTGCACTCACCCGGGGAGGGGAGTGGCAGAGGGAGAGAATCTCAAGCAGACTCCCCTCTGGTTGGAAGCCCCATGTGGGGCTTGATCTCATGACCCATGAGATCATGACCTGAGCTGAAACCACTTAAAGTACTGAGCCACCCCGGTGCCCCCTGAATTTAGCAATATTTAAACAAAAGAGCATGATCAGTTAGAATTATTCCAGGAAAGCAATACTTATATCAAACATTTCATTAAAGTATTCAAGAAAAAAAATGATCACCTCATTCAGTATAGAAAAAAATTTGTTAAAATTCAACCAGTTAATGATAAAAACAAATAACTAAGAATACAGTGGAATTCTCTTAACCTATTTAAGAATATCTATCTAAAAGCTACATTCAGTAAACGGCATGCTGTATGGTGAAACTTGAGAGACAGTCTCTTTAAAGTTAAGAAAAATTTCAATTCTCAAGTACAGTTTTTGTTTTACTGGATCACAGAAAACTCTATTTAGTGAATCAGTGAGGGGACGGCATGCAATTACTGAGGAGTTACAGAACCTTTTCTGAAAGCTTACTTATGTGTAGATTCAAAATAATTGAATCTTTACTATATTCCTTTTGTATCTCCTAAAGAATACTATTTTTGCCTGTTTAATGATCAGTATTCTTTAAATTTTGAAGCAAAGTGGGAGGGGCACCTGGGTAGCTCAGTCGGAGTCTTTGGCTCTGGTCGTAATCTCAGGTCTCTGGGATCAAGCCCCATCAGGGGTTCCCTGCTCAGTAAGGTGTCTACTTCTGCCTCTCCCTCTGTCCCTCCCCCTGCTTGTGCTCACTCTCTCAAATAAATAAACAGGTCTCCAAAAAAAGTGAGAAAAATGCTTAATAATTAAAGTCATAGCATGTATTTATTGACTTAATCATTTAATTTTTAAGTTCAGTATTTTGTGTCACATCACTGTGAATAATCTATTATTCCTCTAATCTAAATGATTTTATTGATCGCTTTCAGTTCTGGTAGCTTTGCAAAACTAAGATAAAGTCTTAATAATTTGTAATTGTCTTAATCCTTTGTAATTAAAATAATCTGAGAATAAAATAAGTTAGTATAATGAACTCTTCATAAAAGACCAATGCATTATTTTCAGATTGAGATACCTACACCCCCCCCCAAATAAAATGCATGTGTGTATTTTGAGTGTTAGTTAATACATGGAATGTGAAGAAATTTAGTTTTTATCAAGTAATTGCAATAACCCAAAGAAAAGTTATGAAAGCATGCAGCCCGAACTACAAAAATGTGAGGCATTTTAGAGCATGAAAGAATATAAAATAGTATTGGAACATTTTAATGTTGTATTTTCAGTGAAAGTATATGTTATGCTTCATCAAAAGAGTCCACACGTGTTGTGTGTAACGCCACGACTGCGAAATTCGGAAATGATAGATCCATCATTCCAATGGCATGGGCCAAGAGGAAAAATTATTTCAGGTAGGCTTTTGTTTCACTTATCATAATTACATTAATGTATCTGAAATATATGGAGAACAAAGAGAGTATTCATATCTCTTACATATGTATATGTTTCCTCAAGTTTTTTTGTTTTTGTTTTTGTTTTTTTTTTCCTGTGATTCCCTTTGGAGTGAGAGTCTCCGTGTGTGAGTTCTCTTGGCAGCTGTATTCCACAAAAATGTGACTTTTTTTAAAAGTTACTAATGTCATTTTCGTTACCCCAGTCAGACTTTTCTTAGTCAAGTGTATATGAAGAAGCAGATATAATTCTGGTTTTTGTTAAAAGTACAAACGAACCCTTTGAGCTACAGATGTACAATAGGGTTTTGTTTGTTTTTCTCCAGCCCCACTTTGGGACAACTTGAGACTTTATTCGTAGTTAGAGTCTTATATTTTCTGGTTTTCTATTTCTTTCTGACTAAAATCCATGCTAATGTGGATTACACTTGGATTAAATATTATCCATTAAAGAAAAAAAGACTAAATTTAACGTTGAGTATTTTAGTATTAAACATAGGCCTTTAGATAAGCTGCGTGGTTTGACCGTGATTGTGTATTAATATGTTATTGGTGCTGTGCTTACAAAAGAGGGACCGTAGAAGTCAGGTGTTCATCTGGAGGAGAAGGTAGACTTGAAACCCTGCATAGTTGCCTTACAGTTTTCAATACACTTTTGAGAAAACAGGCTCTTACTGTCATGAAGATACTTCTTTCCACATAGAGACTGCTATTGGTATGACTGATGTGATCGATATTTTCTCTATTCAACTTATTTTGTTGCTTTGAAATGCATATCTTCCTTTTTATTCTAATTTTTCATTTGCTAAAAGCTGACTTGTTTTTGTAGCATCATTTAAAAAATATTAATTAGCTTAGCTGTTCTTGTTTTCAGCCTTGATGAATACCCTGCTTAATGAATTTTCATCCTAAAGATCTGTTCAATGAAACACCTAATCATTTTTGCATCCTTTCTGAGGCAGTTTTCTTTATTGCTCTATTCACCACATTTATTTATTTATTTATGTTCTTTCTTTCTTTCTTCCTATCCTTTTGGTATTTTGAGAGAGTACCTCTGTACAAAAGCCTTCAGGTTTATTTTGTTATGTTGGTTGGGGGAAAGCAGTTAATTCATATCAATATTTGCTCAGTAAACAGTCATTGGAAGTATTTGTTTTATAATATTTTAATTCAAATTTTTATATACTTGAATGATCTCAGCTGTATATTTCTACAATATTTATGCAGATTCTAAAGTAGCTTAGAATTAAAGAGGTACTCCTCTCTTTGGGTGAGGTGGTCCTTCAAAGTGAACTACTCAGGTCTTAAATAGGGAGTGGCCACTTGTTGGGTACCATTGCACTAGGCTTTGTGGGAAATTCAAAGATCAAACCTAGCATCTCTGCCTGACTGTAGTAATGCAGGAGGAGGGGATTAGCAGAGATCAGTAACAGAAATCCTGAGACTATGCACTTATAAATCCATGAAATGGGCCAAGTATAAAAACATCCAGTACTGAAAATGTAATTGGATTTTATTTTTACTGCTCTATAATGGTAGCACACAATGTCATGCAAACATGTGTGTTAAATATATTTTATGTCTGGTGTTAAAACTCTGTAAGTTCAAAACCAGAAGTGTTCAGGTATTGTTCTGTTGTAACAAATGTTACTCCTTTGATTTGGAGATTGAAATCTGAAACATTTTCTTCTCTAAGATGCCATGCCGGTCTTGTAGTTTATCTTGCAAAATAGAATATATATGATAGAATTTTGACTTCTTCAACTGGGAGCAATAATTTATTTTACTCCCTTTCATAGTATAAAATAGATGTTGAAAAATGTCGTTATAATAAAATCATATTAATAGTGTTTTTTTATTTATAAAAACCATTCTCAGAAAATTCTGGTATTCTGACATCATGATCATATTTTAGTTTGCAGTACATGATCGCATCATAATTCACTGTCTACCAGTTTTAAAGATCATTTGTTGTACTATTATTATGATTTCAGAAAGAACTGGAAATGTTGTCTAATTTTCCTAAAACTGAAAAAGTGGAGAATCTCTTTGGAATCTAGATTAAAGTGCACTGTACTTAGTTATCTTTTTATAAATATTCCAAAGTTAGTTTCCCTAAAATTGAACAAAAGAAATCATGTGATTATGTAATTACTTGCACATTCTCCTGGAGAGAAATATTCAGATTGTTTAATGGGTTGTAAAATATAGGGGACCAATCTTAGATTTGGTCTCTTTCTCTTTCCCCACCTTCTCTCTCTCTCTCTCTCTCTCTTTCTCAGTCCCTACTCCCCCCCCCCACCCATTTCTCTTTCATTTTTTCTTTCTTTCTTACTCTTTTCTTTTTTATTTTTCTTTTTTGAGAGAGAGAGCACATGAACAGGGGAGGGGCAGGGGAAGAAGGAGAGAGAGAATCCCAAGCAGGCTCCATGCTCAGCACATAGCCAAACACAGGGCTCAATCCCATGACCCTGAGATCATGACCTGAGCCAGAATCAACATGTGGGCACAATTTGCTGAGCCACCCAGGCGCCCCTCCTTCAATATCTTTTTATTTACAAATGTAATACATTTTTTGCACAAAGACCTGTACCTCTTACTCCGGTCTCCCTTCCATTCTGATGAATTAACTCGTTCTGGTGTGTGCACTTTCCCACTTTCCTGAACATACAAAAACACACATATGCACATCTGTTGAATTTTACCCTGTAACTACACTCTTGTTTCTAATGAGATCATAGATTTTTATTTTATCTTACCTTGATATATTTCTGTGGAATGAAGCAGTTCGTATATACAAAGGTATATAAGATACATGCAATTTATGACAAACAATAAAACAAACATCCCAGAACCTAGAAGTCAATATATACCATTACCAAGACTGTTGCACCTTCTAATAAGTTGCTTACAAATCCTGTTCTTCTCTCCCCAAACCCCTGTTAGGTAAACAGTGCCCTGACCTTTTACGTATTACTCCCTAACTTTTCTTTGTGTATTTGTCGTGTACTGGCATACAGCCACACATACACATACTAATTGTTTAGTTTCTTGGACAGCCCTCTTCAGTAAGTACAATCATTTCCTCCATTTTATATGTGAAAAAACAGAGGACTTGAGAGAAGAAGGTACTTACCTAAAGTCATGTGCCTTTGAAGTCTGGCTTCAGATTTCATAGGTTTTATATAAATGAAGTAGGAATAGAATTTTCCCTACTCACCATTTTGTGACTTTTTGTATTTTGTATCTTAAAGAATTTGTCCAATTTAGAATCTTCTTTCAACTGTGAAATTTGTGTACATGAAGTAGTTTGTGATACTTTCTTTAATATATTGAGGATCTGTATGATGTGCCCCATTCTGCTTGATATTGGCTATAATCTGTTCCCTTTCATTTTGGTCTCTCTTGATACAGGTTAAACAATTTTTTCAGTCTTTTCAAAGGACCAGCTCTTGGTTTGATTTATTTTTCTCTGTTATTTTTTGTTTTCGATTTCATTGGTCTCTTTTTATTTTTATTATTTTCTTTCCTCTGTGTGATTTGGGTTAAGTTTGCTTATCTTGTGCTGGTTGTGGATTCTGGATTGACAGTTTTTTTTTCTTTCAACATTCTAAAGATGCCTTTCTGGATTCTTTTTGCTTGCATGTTTTCTAATGACAAGTCTGCTGTAATCTTATCCCAGTCCCTCTGTAGACATTGTGCCATTTTTTTCTAATGGACTTCAAGATTTTTCCTTTGCCTTTCATTTTCAGGGATTTGAATATTATATACCTTTTTTTTTTGTTGTTGTTTTTATATTTTTTTCTGCTTAGTGGTCTCTAAGCTTCTTGGACGTTTAGTTTGGTATTTGCCATTAATTTTTAAAAAATTCTTAGCTATTATGTCTTCAAATATTTATTCTGTCCCATGCTGTCCCTCCTCTCCTGAGTTTCTATCATGTAGATGTAACACTGTATGATACTGTTCCACAGCTCTTGGATTCTTTCTTCTTGGTGGTGGTTGTGGCAGTATTTTATTTTTTCTCTTAGTGATTCAGATTGGGTTGTTTCTTTTGACCTGTCTTCAAGTTCATCGATTCTTTCCTTAGCTGTCAAGCTTTTTACAAGCCCATGGAAGAAATACTTCATCTGTGTTATTGTGGGATTTGTGTGTGTGTGTGTATGTGTGTGTGTGTTGTTGTTGTTCATTTTGTTTTGCTATTCTGCCATTTTCATTTAATTATTTCTTACAATTTCAGTTTCTGCTGAAATCTTTCCTATCTGGTCTTATATATTATCTATGTTTTCCATTAAATGTTTTGGTACATTTGTCATTGTTATTTTAAATTTACTGTCTAATATTTTTGATATCTGTGTCATTTAAAAGTCTGCCTCTGTATATTGCTTGGTATTTTGGAAATGTGTCATTTCTTACTTTTGTACATGCCTTCTAAGTTTTTGTTAAAGTTGGATATCTTAAACAAGACAGTAGATAATAAGTATTTTTATGTTTTGAGATCAACACCTTTTTAAAAATAGTGTTATGTCAGGGTGCCTGGGTGGCTCAGGCTATTAAGTGTCTGCCTTCGGCTCAGGTCATGATCCAGGGTACTGGGATAGAGCCCTGCGTAATTTCGTTACAAATTATTGCTCAGCAGGGAAGTCTGCTTCTCCCTCTCCCTCTGCCTCTGCTCATGTATTCTCTCTTCCTTGCTCACTCTCTTAAATAAATAAAATATATTTTTTTAAATAGTGTTATGTCTTCAGTATTACGAGTTTGTGTTCATCTAGTCAGGAATTTGTCTGGGTTTAATATTGGTTGTTGTGGTGGTTATTGAAAGCTTCAGATAGCTTTAAAGATATTTTAGGTGTAGTCTGGTTCATGAGAAGTTATTTTTTCCCGATGTCTAATCTTTCTTTGGCTTTGATTTCTCCTTAAAAAAAAAATTCTCTGGAAAGAATCTCTTTCTTGCAGTTCTTCTAATTTGATTGCACTGCATTTTTACTAGATTCTTATTACTGATGGGTAGCTGGGAGAGAGGGATAGTCTTTGATGTTCAGTTAAGCTTAGCTTTTGGCAGGTATGGTATCCTTGGGTCTTGGCGGGGTGGAGTGGGGCCATCACAAATGCTTCTCCACCTTTAGGGTTGGCCTAATACTTCTTGCTGATTCTCCTACAAGGATGAGGCTCTTTTTTTTTTTTTTTTTTCCTTCCTGTATCCTTCCCTAGTGGTACCAAGTTTCCATAGTGCCCCCACGTGACTATTTTTGTTCCTTTTTTCCCTATAGATTAAAGCATTGTTCTTACCAGGAAGTGGGAAATGGGCGTGGGTAGATTTTGGCAGTTTGCTAGACCCATCCTTTAGCCAGAACCCAATGGGAGTCTTGCTCAGGATTCCCCTCGCCTTTCATTTGACCACTCAGTTGTTGCTGAAGGTAGAGCCTGTAAGAGGGTATAATACACCCGCCTTCCCCCACCCCAATATCTGGTCCTCAGAAGCTTGACATGTTCACACTGGTTGACACTGGCTTTTAGCAATTCACTGAAAATTTTTAGCTGAGTCTTCTTAAATACATGGGTACTTGTTCTTTTTATAGGTTACTGTCTATCCCCAAATTTCAGGTTTGTTGGTTGCCTTCCCACTGTAATCTTTCGGTAGGTTCAAGAAGAGTTGTTAATTGGAAGTTTGTCTTTTACCTAATTGTAATAGTGGAATCAATGTTCTTATAGGCAATTTTCATATCTGAGCAGAAACCAAAAATGTAAACCTATTTTTAAAAATTATAAGTGTGGCGCACCTAGGTGGCTCGGTGGGTTAAGCCTCTGCCTTTGGCTTAGGTCATGATCTCAGGGTCCTGGGATTGAGCCCCGCATCGGCATCGGGCTCTCTGCTCTGCAGGGATCCTGCTCCCCCCACCACCCATCTCTCTGCCTACTTGTGATCTCTCTCTCTCTGTCAAACAAATAAATAAAAATCTATATCAAAAATTAATAAAAATAATAAGTTGTAATGAAATTGTGCTTAAATTTTACTGTGTAATTTTAGAGCTCTATGACATGGACTCCTGGCAATCTAGTCCAACTCTGAATTTTTAGATCAAACTAAGTTGTAGAGAGAGAAGAGGTACTGACTAATTCAGTTATTCATTGATTGTGTGCTGTGTGAGTTGTTATAGTAGTGTCCCTCAGCATCATGAAATTCCCATTCAAACTTAGTTACTCAAAAAGTCATTTTTTAAGTGGCGTTATAGAATGGCTTTTTCTATTGGCTATGGAATCCTCTGGGTATCTTTTCAAGTGTGCCACTTCTAATTTTTTTAAAAATAAGGTGAGAGGGTATTTTATTATGGATCATATGCTACTTGTTTTTCTGGCTGTCCTAATATTTAACATTGTAGTAGGCATTCAGATATGTATTAATGCACTATTAATTTCTACTTCTGAACCGGGAAAACTTCATTACAGATTATTGCCAAGAATGCATGTCTTCATTGACAACATGATATTTAGTATCTATGGGCACTTTTTTTTTTCCTTATAGTGTGAGAAGAATAGATATTAATTCTTTATTTTTAAAAATTTATTTAAATTCCAGGTAGTTAATAGACAGTGTAGTATTAGTTTCAAGTGCACAATTTAGTGACTCAACACTTCCATACAATACGAAGTGCTCATCAAAAGTGCACTCCTTAATCCCTCACCCATTTCCTCCATCACCCCACCTTCTTCCCCTCTGGTGACCATCAGTTTGTTCTGTAGAGTTAAGAATCTGTTTCTTGGTTTGCCTCTCTCTCTCTCTCCCTATGCTTGTTTTGTTTCTTGAATTCCACATACGAGTGAAATCATACAGCATTTCTCTTCCTTGACTGAAATATATTGGGCACCTTTTATCATATTTACTATCAAGTATTTGTCTCTGCTGAAATATATAGCAAACAGTTGAAAACTTGTTAATCTGTTTTAGAAAAGAGACATGTTATGATAAATATGTAATCTTTTATCAAAAAATATTCATGAAGAAATAGGCATTGTAATACAAACATAGTCCCAATTTATAACCCATTTTCCAGTTTCATCCAGGATATGGAAATAGGAATTCTTAAGGCATAATTCTCTATGTAAATTCCTTGAGGGAGACTATATCCATCTATCCATTTCTCCTTCAGTATCTGAAGTAGAGCTTTGCATGTACTAGAAACCCAACACATTTTTATTGAGCAAATTAATAGTGAAAATTTCCTCACTAAGAACATTCATCTTTTGTCTTATTTTGAAGAAATTTATTCAAAATAAACCTCAAATTGAAAATTAAAATAAGTCGTTTACTTAAAGAAGAAAGGATAAGCATTTGCTAGGTTAATACTTTTCATTCTAATGAATGGCATATTAAATTGTTGGGTGAATTTCTTTCTTTTTTTTTTTTTTTAAAGATTTTATTTATTTATTTGACAGAGAGATCACAAGCAGGCAGAGAGAGAGGAGGAAGCAGGCAGAGAGAGAGGAGGAAGCAGGCTCCCCTAGAGAGCAGAGAGCCCGATGCGGGGCTCGATCCCAGGACTCTGAGATCATGACCTGAGCTGAAGGCAGCTGCTTAACCCACTGAGCCACCCAGGCGCCCCCCTGTTGGGTGAATTTCAATGTAATGATTTTCAGATGCAAAACTGGTTATGAACTTTCAGAATGACAACTTGAATTGCTTAAGGATTTGTAGATTTTTTCAAGTACTTTAACAGTTGTTGTATTTGTCACAGGAAAACAATCCTGTGAGGTATGCTATCATGTATTATGATTCGTTGTTTCACAAATGAAGGACCTAGACTTCAGAAAGATTAAGGGATTACCAGAGGGTTAAACAGTTCATGAGAAAGGCAGATCTAAATCCCATGTCTGAAGCCTCTACATCAGTCTTTCCTGTTACACAGCATAGCTTTCTCTCAGTGTGATACTGAGGTAATGAAGCACATGGAAGTCAAAAGGGCTCTTACACCCAGTCCTAACTCTAAACACTGCAACTCTGTGCTTGTGTGACTTTGGACAAATAGGGTGATCTGATCTTCTGTTTTCTTTCTTGAGCACCCCTTTGGGTTGTAACCCAGCCTTTGCCTGCTATCATGTGTAATGACTAGAAGTACCTAGTAGTTAGTGTCATGGCCAGCGCGACAAATCGACCAGGAAAACGTGAGGATAAGAGGATGGTGAAAAGAAATTAAGAGACAAAGAGATGGGGGTGGGAGGGACACTGAGGAGGATGTCTAACAGTGCCAGTTTTATTCCACATCTTACAAGCATTTATAAGGCAGACCACAATAGAAGGAGTAATACATCAGTACCTAGTCAGATGACTGCAAGTTTCTATAACAAGTTTACATCAACTACAAGCAAACCTTGTGATGCCAGGTAGTCTTGGCTAAAGCCAATAGCAAGACAGTCAACCAGGGAGTGGGTTATGGGAGGTACAGGAACAACAAGGACCAACTAAGAATTCATGACCCTGACCACATTGTTCCCTACTGTAGAGAGAGTGTGTGGGAAGTCACGTAGGCGAGCGCACGACACATAGCACAGACCCTTTCTCAGTGTTACTCAACTTTCCTGTCCTTAACCTTGTCAAGGTGTCTGGACTTTGAAGGAGACACAAGTCAGGGCCTGGTTTGATCCTCGACTCCAACCATGCCGTAGCCTCCAACATGTTAGTATCTTGGGTTAGCCTTTGTTCTGGGTGCATTCCTCCCTTTCACATGTACTTTGTAAGCTTACGGAAGGCATAACTTAGCTATAAAATACACATATACATAATTATAGTGTATGCAGATATCTACTATTTTCAGATATATATGAATATCTGATAGTGCTCACAGCAGGGCAGGGAGATCAGGAGTGCAGTAAGTACATGGGATTGTTAGTTTCTTACTACTTAGGCGCCACACAGTTGGTGAACTCAATTAGTAAAACTCGATTAGTAAAAATCCCCTAAAAATACACTAAGGTGAGGTGATCCTGGTGGTGGGTATTGAGGAGGGCACGTTTGCATGGAGCACTGGGTGTGGTGCATAAACAATGAATCTTGGAACACTGAAAAAAATAAAATTAAATTAAAAAAAAAATCAGACACTAAGAAGGTCATCCTGGCACACGCTGTTGACAAACACCAGGCGCAATGACTAGTTAGGCCCCTGGCTCCTTCAGTGATTCTGTAGGTGAAATCTAATGTTTTTAACTCTGTTTAGAAAACATTTTGTCATTTTATCTCAGTGTCATATCATTTAAGCAACTAAATACTGTATCTCATTCCTTTATTAGAGAACAGCACTGCACAAGTAACATCCACAGGAAGCCTTATCTTCCAGAACTTTGAGGAGAGCATGAGTGGAGTGTATACATGTTTTCTGGAGTATAAACCTACTGTGGAAGAAATTGTTAAAAATCTTCAACTTAAATATGTTATATATGGTAAGGAGTGCATTTCAGGGTATTTTTAACATTTCTTAATGTTTTCAAGTATTTATGTATCTTTAGGTTTGTCTTAAAAGCATTTTGTCATTTTTAGTCTTTTAATTAAAGAACAATTCCTGCTTTTCTGTGTTTTACAAAGTACTCTGTAAAGTGTTAGTGGTGAGGGCAGGTCTTGTTTTTTCAGGGGAAAGTTGACAGGAACACATAAATTTAAGCTAATGAATGAAAATGGGAGTTACGGAAATTATGTTTTCAAATATTATAATATTATAGCCTGTACTGCTTTTAAATCCTGAAATTTCATGCTTGATGGCACACTGCCATCCCCCTAGACAGGAGCATGAAATGCCACTGTATAATCCTTTTCTAAAAGCAATTTGATCTCTGGAAGTTTGAGATTGGGAAGGCTGGGTAGGTAATGGAGTAGCCAGGAGAGCAGCCTGAGCAAAGGTGGCTTATAGGTTCCCTCTCATGGGGAGGCCCATTCATGGCGGAGAGGGTAGTAGCACCTCTCCAGCTGTCTGATGTCTGATCTCCAGCACCTCTCAGTGTGCTACCTCAAGACGGCAGAAGGGACTCTGCACATAGTAATAAGCTAAGGATCTGGACAAGGAGAGATGATCCTGAGAAAGCTGAGTAGGCCCAGTATAATCACAGTGTCCTTATAAGAGGAGGCGTGAGAGTCAGCGGCGGATAAAGGCCATGTCATGGTGGAAGGAGAAGACTCAATGGTTGTCTTTGAGGATGGAGTAGGAGCCACACACCAGGGAGTGCAGGAAGCTTCTAGAAGCTGAGGATGGCAGACAGTTTCCTCTAGAGCTTCCAGAAGGAATGCACCCTGATTCTAGCCTTGTAAGATTCACTTTGGACTTCTGATTTTCAGAATTTCAAGATGATAAATTCGTGCCATTTCCAGCCACTACATTTGTGATGATTTGTTACAGTAGTAATAGGAGAGTAATGTACCATCTTTGTTCCAACTGAGTTACAGAACAAATGGCAGAATTATTAGTGGTTTCCTAATAATTTTTGGTCACTGAATAAACACTATCCCATATATCCAAAGAAAGACATTATTTTTTAATGAGAAATCATATTTACTTTCTTCGGCAAAAATTCCTGAATCAGTCATGCTTCACTTTTGTTGCATAGTTTTCTCCATCTTGTTATTTCCTAGGTTTTGTCTGTACCGAATATAATTTCTGGTAAGAGTGTGTCCACATAAGCTGACAATTGTAGCAGAGCCTTAAATGAAAGCTAGTTCATGGTATTGACAAGCACAGCTAATCTGTGCCCGGCCGTGCTGTGTTTCTACGTGTAATTCTCGTACCATAAAACGCTCAGAGCACTTCGGCAAGGCATTGTCAGCAGTGCTTTATTTGTATTCAGCTAATTTAATCCCCACAGCAGACTGTGCAGTACACACTGCTGTGGTCTGCCTGCGTACAAACACTGAGGCATAGAGGGGTTAAGTGAATGTGGGGAGACTCCGATGTGAATCTAGGAATTCTGATTCGGGAGTGTGTGTTCTTACCTTAAAGTTAATTTTGTTATACAGGCACAAAAGCCAATTAGATTCCCTTTTATCTTTTTAGTATAAGTTCTTTAGTATACATGTTTGGTATATAAATGGTGTTTTTATATTATTTTTGTTAGTATAGCTGACATAAAATGTTACGTTAGTCTTAGCTGTACAACATAGTGATTCCACAACTTTAAACTTTATCCTGTGCTCACCACAAGATACACATGTATTTTCGTATTATGGAAACTAAATTGTTAGTATTTCTGTAAGAAGAATTCTATAAGGTAAAATCTTCTACAGAATATTCAGTGTTATTTTTGATAGAATCTGTCAGTTTCCCTACGAAGTGTGGACCAATTTATATCCCTGCCATACTATATGAAAACTTCATCTTTTATAAGATAGGATTTTTTCTGTTGGCTTGGGTTTGGCTTATGCTGAGTAAGCTTCCCTGAATTAGAGGAACTGAATTCACTTATAATTACATTTTTATATATGGAATGTTTAAAATTTTAGAAAGTAACAAAAATAACATAACACCCAGAATTACTATCAGATTTAAATATGGCAAGACCATAGATGTATGGTGACTCATTCCTTTAATATGCCCATCCTTAATTAGTAAATTTGAGCATTTAAAAGTATTTTTGTTTATCTAGTGGATTACATTGCCTTTTTAGTTTTGATGCCATTTTCATTTTGGATGACTTGCCTTTTTCTTAGTAATTTATAGGGTCTTACCAGTCTGCATATCAATCCTTTATCATATTGCAGTAGCTTCTGCCTATCTCTCAGTATGATGTTGTTTATACTCCAGAAGGTTCAAATGTTGTTATAGTGAGATCTACCAACTTTTTTTTTTTTAAAGATTTTATTTATTTATTTGACAGAGAGAGAGAGAGATCACAAGTAGGCAGAGAGGCAGGCAGAGAGGGAGGGGGAAGCAGGCTTTCTGCCAAGCAAAGAGCCCGATGTGGGGCTCTATCCTGGGGCCCTGAGATCATGACCTGAGCCAAAGGCAGAGGCTTAACCCATTGAGCCACCCAGGAGCCTGCCCAGTTTTTTTTTTTTTTTTTTAAGATTTTATTTATTTGAGAGAGAGAGAGAGAGCACCCACATGAGATGGGGGAGGGTCAGAGGGAGAAGCAGACTCCCTGCTGATGAGCAAGGAGCCTGATGAGGGACTGGATCCTGGATCTCCAGGATCATGATCTGAGCTGAAGGCAATCACTTAACCAACTGAACCACCAGATGCCCCGATTTACCAGCTTTTTGAATTGTGATTTTTTTTTTTTTGCATTGATTTTTTTTCTGAGATCATTCCTTATACCTAGAAAATAAAAGTTTCCTATATTTATTTGGTTGGCCTGTGTTTAATTTTTTATTAAAGTATTTATTTATTTATTTATTTATGGCAAGTAGGGGAAGGGGCAGAGAGAGGGAGAAAGAGAATGTCTCAAGCAGACTCCGAGCTGAGCACAGAGCCTGACATGGGGCTTGATCTCCTAAGCCAAAATCAAGAGTTGGACACTTAACTGACTGAGTCACCCATTGCCTCTGTTTTTTTAATTAAACATTTTATTTCAAGATAATTGTAGATTCATGTGTAGTTGCAAAATATGATCCAGAGATCCTATGTGTGCTTTTACTCAGTTTCCCCCCATAGTGACATCTTGTGAATATATTGTACATAATCAGGCCAAGATACTAAGTTCATATAGTACAACAATCTTAGGTTCCTCCAGTTTTATAGTCCTCCTTTGTGTGTTTGTGTGTGTGTTTAATTCTCTAAGTTTTATCGCAGGTGTAGTCTCCTGTACTCCTGCACTGCTACAGTTAAGATACATAGCAACACTAGCAACAGAAGTATATTTGGGTTGTCCTTTTTTTTTTTTTTTTAAGATTTAATTTATTTATTTGAGAGAGAGAGAGAGCACAAGCCTGGGTGGAGGGACAGAGGGAGAGGGAGAAACAGACTTTCTGCCCTGAGATCATGATCTGAGCCAAAGGCAGACACTCAGTGGACTGAGGCACCCAGGCATCTGTGGGTTGTCCTTTTATACTTAACCCGTTTCCCTCTTACCACCTCATTGTGACTGACAACCACCGTCTTCTCCAATTCTATAACTTCATCATTTCTAAATTATTATATAAGTATATAAGTATATATATAAAATATATAAGTATATTATATATTATATAATATAAATTATTATATAAGTATTACATAAGTAATAGCATACGTAATTTTATGGGATTGGCTTTTCTTCATTTGGCTTAATTCTCTGGAAATTCATCTGCACGGTGGTGCGCATTTATCATTCATTCCCTTATTCTGAGCTGTGTTCTGCAGCCCACATGTGTCACAGTCTGTTTAACCCCTCACCCGCTGAAGCACGTCGGGGTTGTTTCAGGCTTGGGGCTGTAACAAATAAAGTTGCTATGAAGCTTGTGTATATTTTTTTGTGTAGGTACATGTTTTTATATCTGGGATAAATGCCCAAAGTGCATATTGGATGTGGACATGTGATAGGTTTATAAGAAATTGCCAAATTCTTTGCCACACGGCCATGCCAGTTTACATTCTGCCAGCAGCTTCTCTGTGTCCTCTCTGGTATTCGGTGTTGTCATTATCTTTTATTTTAACCATTCTGATGGGTGTGAAGTGATATTTCATTGTGGTTTTCATTAGCGTTTACCTATTATCTGTGGACATTGAACATAATTTATGAGCATATTTGCCAACTTTGGTGAAATGTCTGTTGATATTTTTGCCCATTTTCTAATTGGCATTTTTGATGTACTATTGAATGCTTTGAGTTTCTTTTAAAAACACATATTTCCATATATATTCTTTTGTAGGTTATGTTATTTGCAAATTTTCTCTTCTGGTCTATATCTTTTCAGTGTCTTTTTTTTTTTAAGTAAATCTTTAAAGATTTTATTTGTTTATTTGACAGACAGAGATCACAAGTAGGCAGAGAGGCAGGCAGAGAGAGAGGAGGGGAAGCAGGCTCCCTGCTGAGCAGAGAGTCCGATGTGGGGCTCGATCCCAAGACCCTGGGTTCACGACCTGAGCCGAAGGCAGAGTCTTTAACCCACTGAGCCACCCAGGCGCCCCCATATCTTTTCAGTGTCTTAATGAGATTTTTTTCCCCTTTTTTTCCCCAAAGGGAGGGGATCCAGAATATATTTTTTTAACTTTTAATTTTTTTTAACCTCTTGATCCCCTCATCTGTTTTTTCTAACCTTCACTATCTGCCTGTGGCAGCCACCAATCTGTTCTCTGTTATCTATGAGGTTTTCTTTTCTTCCTTTTTTTTTTTTTAAGATTATACATATAGGAGAAATCATACAGTATTTGTCTTTCCTTGTCTGATTTATTGCACTTGGTGTAATGCCTTCAACGTCCACCCACGTTGCTACATGTATGCACGCATGTGCATGGTCAAATCCCAAGATTTCTTTAGCC